CTAACTTCTGCCAGGTGCTCCCAGGAAGTGGCTGACTTTGCACCTCCTAGAAGGCACCCAGTGCACCCGGTGGACAGCTTCAGACCATAACAGATTACAATTATACACATCCACGAGCAATGCACTCAAGGAGCTGACTCAGGGAGCACCAAAGCCCCGCTGTAACAAGTCCTGTTCCATAGGGGTGTCTCCTGCTCAGAAGCTCTTCCATTGTAGACACAGCTGGTCCTCACAGCCCATCGGCCTGGAGTTCAGTTCCTCCCAGTGATGCTAACAGCAATCAGGGCTTAACTACAACAAGACTGTGCACACAGCCCACACGGCTGTACCTAGAGCGCCCCGCTCAAGTGACAGGGGACACTGAGCCACTGAGCCCTACAGGACACCTACTACACGAGGCGACTTGACCAACTCCAGGAGACATAGAAGCAAACATGGGAAGCAGCCAAACTGTGGAGACAAAGAAACATGTTACAAATGAAAGAAATGGAAGTATACAAACTAGTAGATACAGAGTTCAAACCAATGGTTATAAGGTTGCTCAAGGATCTTGATGAGAACTTCAGGGGACTTAGTGAGACTTTTACGGATCTTAGAGAGAATGTCAAAGTCATGAAAAAGGACAAGCCTGAAATTAAGCATACACTAACTGAAATAAAGAATAATTTCTAGGGTTTCAACAGTAGAGGAGAGAATTCTAATAATCAAATCAAAGATTTGAATATGAGGAAGCAAAAAAACATTCAATTAGAAAAGAAAAAAGAATCCAACAATATGAAGCTAGTGTAAGGAGCCTCTGGTACAACTTTAAGTATACCAGCATTCACATTATGGGATTGCCAGGAGATGAGAGAGGACAAGATATTGAAACCTATTTGAAGAAAAAATGACAGAAAACTTCCCCCACATGATGAAATAGACTTACAAGTCCAGGAAGCACAGAAAGTCCCAAATAAGAGGAACCCAAAGAAGCCCACACTAAGGCACATCATAATTAAAAGGCCAAGGGTTAAAGACAAAGAGAGAATCTGAAAAGCAGCATGAGAAAAATAGTTCATTACCCACAAGGGGACACCCATATTTTTGTCAGCTGATTTCTCAACAGAAACTTTGCAAGCCAGACAGGAGTGGCAAGACATATTCAAAGTGATGAATAGTAAGGACCTATAACCAAGATTATTCTGCCAGAAAAGCTATCATTTAGAATTGAAGGTCAGATAAAGATCTTCACAGACAAGAAAAAATGAAGAAGTTCATCACCACCAAACCAGTATTATATGAAATGTTGAAGTGTATTCTTGGAAGAAGAGGAAGAAGAAGAAGAAGAAGAAGAAGAAGAAGAAGAAGAAGAAGAAGAAGAAGAAGAAGAAGAAGAAGAAGAGATAAAAAATATGAACCCTAAAATGGCAATTAATACATATCTTTCAACAATTGAGTCTAAAAACAATAATCAAGAAATCTAATAAATAAAATAGAATCAGAGGTTTGGAAACATGGACAGACTGACCAGTCTCAGAGGGAAGGAGGTGCAGGGGCAGGAAGAGATTAACCAAAGATCTTATTTGCATACTAGAGGCCCAATGCACATGGTGCAAGAGGCTCGGTCCTCGCAGCCACGGCAGCTCGCCTCGGCCCTCACAGCCTTGGCTTCATCCAGGTCAGTCGTCTGTCTGGTCTAATTAGCATATTACACTTTTATTACAGACTAGAGGCCCGTTGCACGAAGATTCGTGCAATAGGCCTTCCTTCTCCTGGCTGCCAGCACTGGTTTTCCTCTGGTAAACAGGACCCAGGCCTTTGCTGCAGCCGCAGCAGAGAAGCCAAGCCTTGAGTCTTCAGTCATCAGATTTCAGTCTTTAGTCTTCAGTTCACGCCTGCATATGCAAATTAACCCACCATCTTTGTTGGGTTAATTTGCATATCCACTCATGACTGGCTGGTGGCTATCACAAAGGTATGGTCAATTTGCATATTTATCTTTTCTTAGTGTATACTAGAGGCCCGATGCCTGGGATTCGTGCACTGGTGGGGGGGCATGGCCTGCCGCTCATCCTGGTCAGCCAAGTGGCGCTCCCACTGTGGGAGTGCACTGACCACCAGGAGCAGCTTCTGCATTGAGCATCTGCACCCTGGTGGTCAGTGCGCATCACAGCGACTAGTCGACCAGTCATTCTGGTTGTTCCACCGTTCGGTCCCTGGACTTTTATTATATAGGCTATACATTACCTGTGGACACAGAAAATAGGGTGGTGAAGGCCTGGGGTGGTGCGAGGTGGGAACCAGGTGGAGGTGGCAATGGAGAGAAAAGAGGGGAACATCTGTAATACTCTCTTCTATATATATAAAATCCTAATATGCAAACAGACCAAATAGCAAAACAACCGAACAACCAGGTGCTGTGCTGATTACCAGGTAGTGCACGCAGAACATGCCAGGTGTTGGCTGTGGCGGAATGGTGGAGCAGGTGAGCGGGGGCATCAGACCAAGGTGGGGCGCCAGTCGCTGTCATCAGGGGAACCACTGGTGGTAACTGAAAATTCTTTGCTCTCATGCGCCGCAGTTCTGCTGGGCACTCACACCTGCTGCTGGTGCTGGCACCACTTGCATCTGCTACTGGTGCCCAGCACTGGTCCCAATGCTCAGAGCCATCAGCAGGTATGAGCGGTGGCTGCTGACCCCACGTCCCCCTGCTCCTGAGGGGCGATTGGGGCAGTTAGCAACAGGACGAGGTATGTAGTCTGAGCCATGTGTTTGTTAAATAAGTTCCAATGACCAGAAGCATGAACCAGTGGGGTAGACGGTCAGCTAGCAGACATGTCTAGTACCAACCCCTGGGGAAAAGGTCTCAGGGACTTACAGAGAATTGGGAGAGGGACCAGAGCAGGCTGCATGGAGGAGGTGGCACCTGGGCCTGGCCTTGTTGGACAAGAAGAGGTGATTCTGGAATGGCATCCAATCCCTCATCACCTCCCTGCACTGTGACACAGCCTCCCTCCGCAGTCCCCCCGTCAGATGTTCTTCTCACACAGCCTCCAAGTGTGACCTGGGGTTGGCCCCTGGAGGCACCCCATGTGGACAGGGAGAGGCCAGGGGCCCTTTTCAGTTCCCCTCCGGCCCTGCACCTTTCTGGCCTCTGCCCCTCCTCCTGGGCGGCCTGCCTGCCCCCTGCTCGCCCAGAAGCTCTGCTCTCCTCCTCCAGGCCCAGCCCCAGCCCCAACAGCACCCTCAGGTGCTGCCCCGCGCTCAGGCCCTGTCCACACAGCACTGTATGAATTGTAGCGTTTTCCAGTGTCCACCGTGGTTACTTGTCGGTAGTCCCCCACACTAGACTGGAGTTTTGTAAGGAAGGGAGGGCGAGAAGAAGGGGAGGGGAAACGTGGGCTGTGCCTTGGAGGAGGAACTAGGGCTAGAGGGGAGGTAACGGGGCCAGTGAGTGTTGAAATCAGGAGTGGAACAGAAGAAGCGATGCAGGCTGGTGTGGGAACCAGGAAGAGCCTGCGGGTTCCGGAGCGAGTCTGGCAGGGCCGAGAGCGGCCGCACAGGAGGAAGGGCACCTAGAGCGGTCATGAGGTCAGGCCGGGGCTCAGGGTGAGCAGGTGGGGGTGGGAGCGACACCCATCCTTCTGGTGCAGCGGGGGGCGGGGGGCAGCACTGCGGCTGGCTTAGGAATTGGCTGGAGGGACTCAGGCAGAGGCCACAGGTGAAGGGTGGGGGGAACCGAGAGCTGGTTCTCCTTTGAGCTTGGGAGACCCAAGCTTTATGCAAAGCAGCAGGGAGGACAGCTGTGGCCAGGAAGAGGTGAAGTTGCAGGAAGAGACCAGGGATGAGACAGACAGACGGACAGGGCTCCTGGGGGGTAGGGCTTCCAGGGGACGGGTGGTGAAGGCCTCGGGGGCAGCCAGGAGCAGCGCAGGGGCCGTCCCCAGGGGCCTGGCCGGAGGGGCCCCTCTCGGCTGGCCGAGACGGGTGCTCAGGGGCTCCTGTCCCTCATCCCTCCTTGGTGACCAGGCAACGGAGGGGAAAGGACTCCAGGTTGAACTGGAGGCAGAGACAAGAACAAACAGAGTGGCACCCAAACTCAGCAGAGCAGAGCACAGAGAACAATGACGCCACCTGCCCTCGGGCATCGCTGCGATGACGCTGCCTCGCCTGCTGACCAGGCGCTCGCTGGGAGGGACCCCGAGGCCTGGATGGGCGTGTGGACACGAGGTTGGCTTGGCTCCGTGTGCTGGAGGCAGAGGTTCAGGGGGCAGCTGCTGCAACGTTTGGGTCTCGGGTACTTCAGAGAGAAAGTACTTTTGAACCTCTGAGAAGCCGCTTATTTCATCAGTATGTTTCCTCGAAAAAATAAATAAGATTGCTTTCCATTTCTCTTAATGAAGGTAATAACTTCCCATTGTAGAAAATATGGAAATACAGGGGAGTTAAAAAGGAGGAGGGGAATGACCCACAGCCTTACCACCCAAAGATCGCTGTGAATGTGGGAGAAAATTCAGCAAACCGTGATGGTCTTACAGGCAGTATTTCTCCGCTCTCCGGAACACGGAGGAACACAGCTGCGGCTGTTTTGGGTGTCGTTCTTTACAAATGGAAGGGCATGCTTACAATTTTTAAAAGAAAAAACAGAAGAATGTGTCTGCAGCTCCCAGACCAATCAGGAGGTGTGTAAAACGACGGTCTTATGTTACAGAAATCTTATCTACTTGTGTACTTTTAGGTCATTCCAGAAAATACCCCTTATGAGGAAGTTGGCTCTAAAATGTGTGTATAGGAGCGGCTGCATTTAAGTGTTTGTGGCTCAGACCAGAGAAGCACAACCTCCTTGGTGCACCCTTAAATGAGGAAGCAGAGTTCCCTGAAGAAAAGGAATAGCCCCCCAGAGAGGCGTCAGTCCCCCGCCCCCCACCCCCTCGCCCACGGTGTCCTTGGCGTGGGAGCCACGACAGTGAGACTGAAGAGGGACCAGGAGTGTTTTGACAACCTTGTGTTTCCACCCACAGAGAAGGGCCTGCCTCCCGCAGCCCCGGGGCCTGGAGCCGAGGGCCAGCCTGGGCCGCCCTGGATCACCATCACCCCACAGAAGCGGCGAGGGGCCCCGGAGCAGCCGCCCAACCAGGAGGACAAGCCTGGGGAGCCCGAAATAGGAAAGCCAGCCAAGGCACCCGAGCGGGCCCAGGTGGGTGCCCTGAGCCTGTGGGTGTGGGAGAGAGGCGGGCTGAGGCCACGCTTCCTGCCTGGTGGTACAGAGCCCGTGGCCGGGCTGCGGGCTGCCAGCTGCCCTCGGCTGCAGGGCTGTCAGGGAGGCGGAGGAGCAGGTGGATCACTCGGTCACAAGGGACAGCTCTGCTCCTGCCTCCTAGGCAACGAGCATCCGGAGAAGTGGAGCAGGTTAACATAGCTCCTCAGTCAGACGCAGGACCAGGTCAGAGCTGCCTCTCGGCTCAGGGTGGACCCGGCCTCCGCTGCTGCCCGATGCTTGCGGTGATGCCAGGGCAGGCCAGGGTCCCCTCCTCCCACCCAGGGTCCATTCGCAGTCTGGACTCAAAACGGCTTTTTCAACCCTAAACAGCTGTGCTTGGAAGCAGGCTGAGAATCATGACATTCGCATCCCCCCAAAGTAGCCACCACGGGGAAGCCATGGCTTGTTTCAGCCGTGGGGGCGGGGGAGGGGGAGGCAGAACCCGCAGCACCCGCTCCCCTCACCTTAACTCAAGTCTCATCACCCCCATGCCTGCGCGCAGACAGCATTTGTAAACAGGTGTGAACCAGCGATCTGGTTTGGGGCTCTGTGAGCAGACCGTGTCATAAAAGCCTCAAACTACTTGCAAACACCATTCATTTACACTTTCCAATGGGATCCCTGCCGTCCAGTGTCCGGGCTGAGGCCCGCGGTGGGGACGGGGCAGAACCCAGGACGCCTGTGTGTGTCCTGGGGCATCCGAGCTCCTGGTGCTGAAGGCTGGGCCAGTGAGAGCACAAAGCAGAGCCGAGACAGCGCCAGCCGCACGCCTCCTGTTACAGACCGCGTGGCTCCGCCTGGGTTCTGCTCAGACCCATGAGCCTGGGGTGACGGGCAGCGTGTCCTCCTTGTGTCCTCACAGGGGCCGGTGAGGCAGGCCGACTTCACCCGCAGCAAGTCCTTCCTGATCACCCCGGCGAAGCCCGCAGACCGCCGGCAGGGGAGCAAGCTCTGCCTCCAGGAGGGGCTGCAAAGAGGGATCTCCTTGTCCCACCAGAACTTGGGTATGAAACCTGCCAACAGCCCCGAACACTCGGAAATCCCCTCCCTGGGGTGGGCCCAAGGGCTGTGTTTTTGTTTTGTTTTGTTTTGTTTTTTCTGAATTACTTGACACACGGATTTGTTAAAATAGCTTTTATTGAGATATTGCCATAACACTCTCCTGTTTTAGGTACAGTCAGTGAGTACTAAGGGACAGTGAGCATGTTTTTCCTGAGTTGTCCAACCATCGCAGTCCCGTCTTAGAGCCTCACCCTAGAAAGCAGCTTTGGGCTCCCCTACAGGCACTCACCATTCCCGCCCACTCCAGGCAACCGCCAGTCACAACTATCAGTCTCTGCTGACCGACCGTCCCTGCCTTCCTTAGTCATGTCCTATTCCCGGAATCACAAAACACGTGTGCTTGGGTGTCTGGCTTCCTTCGCAGAGCATTCATCTCTGACATTCCATGCATTAGCACCTTTTAAATTTTTTTTTTAGTGTATGTTATTGATTTTTTTTTTTTTTTTTTTTTTTTTTTTTTTTTTTTTTACAGAGAGGAAGAGAGAGGGATAGAGAGTTAGAAACATCGATGAGAGAGGAATATCGATCAGCTGCCTCCTGCACACCCCCTACTGGGGACGTGCCCGCAACCAAGGTACATGCCCTTGACCGGAATCGAACCTGGGACCTTTCATTCCGCAGGCCGACACCCTATCCACTGAGCCAAATCGGTTTTGGCTTAAATTTCTTTTTAATTATGTAAAATACACAAAACAAAACTTACCACCTAGCCCATGTTTAAGTGTGTGGTTCAGTCGTGTTAAGAATATTCACACTTGCACACAGTCCCCCAGTCCCCCAGGCTGCAGCTTCCTCTGGAAGCTTCTCCTCACCGCATGGGAGCCTCCTGCAGCCTGTTTGTCACAGCAGGTTTTCTGTGCCTACACCTTCTCTACATTTTTGCACATTAAGGATTTCACATTTGAGACCACAGTTAGACCTCGGTGCGTGTTTTAAAGAAATGCAGGGGCGTGAGTGAAAATTCAGACGCGTTGCTCGTGTGTGTGTCTGTGTTGTCTTCACCCCAGCAGCCCAGTCGGCGGCGATGGCGGAGAGGGAGCTGCACCAGCTGAAGAGAGCCAGCTATGCCAGTGCCGAGCAGCCGTCCTGGATGGAGCTCGCCAGAAAGAAGTCTCAGGCGTGGAGCGACATGCCCCAGATCATAAAATAGGCTGACAGTGTGTGGCAAAATGCCCACCACCCTGACTGACGGGTCACGTTCGTGAAAAAACTGCCACTGAAGGCAAAGACGCTGAACCGTACGAGTGATTTTTATCATCCGGCTATGGGAGGGCGGGCCTGGGGAGGAGGGAGCCAGGCCAGCAGGGAGGACAGACACACAGCCACGGGCCTGGCCAGCAGGGCCCGCAGACAAGAACACCATTGAGAAGGTGTTCGAGGAGCAAGGCCCGGTGCCCGGAGGTCTGAATGCCAGTCTTTCAGGATCGCCTTCATCAAAGGAGCTCCAACACGGAAGAAGCCGTGAAACACGGATGCAAAACCGGGACCCGGAGAGCGTGTGTCTGTGCCTCCCCCTGAGATCGGCTGTGTCTGTGGCCGCAGCCCCGCCTGCGGGTCCTGCCTGCTCCTCTCCTTCCCTCGTGGGCGTGGTATTTGTGGTACGTAAGGATGCCGCTTCCAAGAACAGGGATAAAGCAGCCAGTTTTCCTGAAGACAGACGCTCTGTGAAGGGGCGGGAAGAGCACAGCAGGGCGCATCAACTCGCAGACCGTTTCCAACAATAATTTTTAAAATTTTCCACTAGGCATCTGTGTCCTTAGCCGTTGCACAGCATATTCATTGCCTGTTCAATAAAAGCTTTCAAACATGCTCCTGTCAGATGTTGTTTCTGCTCACATTGAGAGAACGGCCTCAGCCCTGAGTGAAAGGAAGTACAGTGCTTCATTTAACGTAGATCTCATTGTAAATCTCCGTTGGGTTGATTTTGGAGCTTGGGTTTTTCTTAGACTTTTTTCTCCCAATAAAATGTTGGTGTTTATTTTGGAAACCAGACGTTAATATAGGCGTTTTTCCTCTTCTCATCTATTTGTACAGCATATAAGACTCTGAGATTTCCCAAAATGTTACAATTCTTTACTTAACTTGCATATTTCTATTAAAAACTAGGGTTTTCAATTATTAGCCAGGATGGTTCATGAATACAGAATGTGGAAAAGCCAGCAGAGAAAGAGCATATATTTTGGGAATCTCAGAATCATGTCTCAGTTACATAATATCTCTATTTTTAAAAACATTTCCAATTTGTTCTTTTGAACAAGCGAATCTCCATGGGAATATGTATATAGCTGTGAACTTTGAGCCATTAGAGTTAGTAAGACCTCATACACTGAGTTTTGATACTTTGATTGCATTTTTTTCTTTATGAATAATTGTTTTTCTAATTGTTAGAGAACTACACGATTGAATCAGGTCTGCCTTTATTGTTAAAAGTCCTGAGATAGTTTTCCCCCAACCACGTTGATGTGTTAATTGCACTGTCTTAGCCTCAGTGGGGAATGGCAGGATGAATGCTCTGAACAAGAATTCCAGCTGTGCAGGCTCGCTCTAAAAGCTGAGGCATGAATAGATTTAACTAGAAAAAATTTCCCATTGGCTATTATTACCCCACACCATCTTCCTTCCTAAGATTGCAGGGACTGTCCCCAGCTTGAGCGAGGCTGCCAATCTGAGGATAGCAAGGCTCCCTCACCCACTCCGAGGAGACGGTACTCATCTCCTTCACGGCAGAGAAATCGTTGAGAAGAAAAACACTTGAGCTAATAGGGATGCCCCTGCGATTTTAAGAAAAATGCACTCCGAGGGATGGGCCCTAGGTCTGCATTGGCTTTCAGTGGAAGCCCGAGGAAAAAACTGGACCCTAAGAGAGACAACGGGGACATAGTCTAGGGCAGCCTGCAGTGGCTTCACAGGTGCCACCAACTATGGACAGTCCTCCCTTCGAAAAGCGGAGCCTGATTTGCCTTCCCTGGTTGTGAGCAGACTCCGTGCTCACGTGTAACGGCGGCATATAGTGGAGGGGTCGTGAGACTTCGGAAGTGAGGCGATGAAGGCCTTGCTGCCCCCAGCCTGCGCTCCTCAGGGCCGTCCTCAGAGAGCAGTCCGTCGCCAGGGTGGGAGGAAGCTTAGCAGCCTGTGCAGAGGCCCAGGTGGAAGAGCCGAGACCTCCTGCTCTGGCCTAAGTTGTGCTCCCACCCCCAAATGCGAATTGTATGTTGGCCTAACGCAGTGTTCCAGAATGTGGCTGTATTTGGAGACAGGACCTTTCAAGAGGAAATTGAGTTAAATAGATCCTTAGGAGGGACCCTAATCCAATATGACTGGAGCTCTTACGAGAAGGAATTTGGCACAGATACACACAAAGGGAAGATACGAGGAAAATACAGCCATATACCAGCCAAGGACAGAGGCCTCAAGAAATCAATCCTGCCAATATCTTGATCTCAGACGTTCTGCCTCCAGCACTGAGACAACACATCTCTGTTGTTTAAGCCCCACCTGTGGCACTTTGTTATGGCAGTGGGAGCACACTAACACACTCCTGCCAATCACCAGCACCAGCTTGCCAGCCATGGGAATGAGCCCCTTAGATTGGCTCCTCCAGCCCCAGGCAAGCCTTCAGATGAGTGCAGCCCGCCCAGCTGACACACTGACTGTGACCTCATGGCCGATCCCAGGCCAGTCTGCCCAGCCAGGCCACTCCGAAATCCTGACCCACTGAAAATATTAGGTAACAAGTGTTTGTTATTGCTTTAAGCCACTAAGTTTTGGAGTGATTTGTCACTTAGCAACAAGTATCTAACAGGGCAGTTTTATGTTCTTTTTCTGGGTCATAAAGTGAAAAGGCCTTACTTGTTTTCACATTAATATTTCAGTTGGGGTTAAGAGCATAACCATATGCACAGTCTGAGAGAAATGTATTTAATACCTCCCAAACTGCAATCTGTCTTAGGTTGTGGAGCAGAGATAGCTGGGGGGGGGGGACAGAGACACCAAAGACCTATCAACGCCTCGCCTGGAAGCAGATGTCCAACGGGGACTCTGTCTCCAGCTGCACCCACTCCCGCCCAACCTGCACACCGTATGCGCGGGACGCTGTAGCCCAGTTCTGGCTGATGGGCTGAGAGCAGAAGCGATGGGCATCCCATACGCACAGTTCTGTCCAGGAGGGGCCCAGGGAGGCCGCCAGAGGACCAGGAAGTGTCCTGTGGAGATTTCAGAGAGGGGGTGTTCCGCTCAGAGAGGCCATGGGGAGCAGGAGAGGGGCCTTCGGCGTCTGAGGGACAAGGAGGGAACTGACTTACCCTGCGTAACTCCACCGGGAGCAGCCAGGACCAGAGGGCCGCTCCGGAGGACAGACAGGTTTCCCTGTCGGAGTTGCCCTGCTGGGCCAGACAGGATGCTGGCCCGGAGTGAGCTCCCTGAGGCTCATGGGGAGGATGGCTGGCCGGCCAGCCAGAGCTGCGCTAGATGGGAAGGCAGGCCTTCCCCTTTCATTCTGTAATGTAATCACATTACGCGGCTCTTCATGCTAATTATAACCGAGAAGTAACCAGCCAGAAAATGATCCAAATGGCTCTTATGCGGTATGTAGCTGCTCAGAGTGCTCTGAAAGCTCCTTATTACCAGACGGGAGCCGGGCAGAAGCAGCCACTCAGCAGATGAGCCTGCCCAGCCCCCTCCGTCCTAGGCCGTGTCGGGGGAGGGGTGCCGTCCTGCTTCCCCGACCCCTGCATGTGCCACCCCTGCATCTCCTGGCGGCCTCCGAGCTCTGAGCTCCGCAGCAGGAACAGTGACTTCTCCCCTGGGCGGTGCCAACAGCCTGCCCTGAGTGGTGTGTCAGGATCGATAGCAGGACCCTGGAGCCAGCCACCTGCCTTTTGGGAGGCGCTCAGGTGCGAGCAGCTGCTGGCCCCGTCACTCCCCTCCTGCCGGCTGCGGGGACTGACCGTGGGCGTGGGCTGGGGAGCCGGTGTGTGACCCCGGATTACTGACCACAACAGCACCGGCTGGGCGTCAGCGCTCAGTTTGTGTGAACCTCCCTCCCAACCCCCACCTCACCCCCGCGGAGGCCCCTATGGGGCTTTCCCGCAGGAAAAGGAATCCCGGTGTTCAATGTAGGACAAGCAAAACCACTCCCGGGACAGAGGAAGGGAGGGGCAGGTCACGAGGGAGTCCTTTCGACAAACATAAACTCAGTCTTTCAAAAGCTGGAGCCGTTAAACTCGGGCTCTCCATCTCCCCTCCCGAGGGAGGCGAGGAGAGATGGCCAGATGGTTCCTTTCCCTGTGCCCACCCTGCACTTTATCTCTCAGGTCCTCTGGAAGGATGGGCCTGTTCCCAGGGGCACTGCCCAAGCTCCCCAGCCACGCAGGAGGCCGAGGGTGGCTGCCACCACCCCCTCATGGCGGGCAGTCCCCCCCGCCTCCCCACCAAAGCCCAGCAGCACGCCGGCCGCCCCGGCCGGGGAGCACTGTCCTCTGTGCTGCTGAAGCACTCAGCACAGCACGTGTTGGTGACGGCTGCGGGCGAGGCGCTGCATTAACTGTGGCCAAGTTGGCAGCGGCTCTCCTGGCAGCGGCTGCAACCAGACGTCCTGGGCACCTTGGCCGTCCCGGAAGCTCCTGCCCTCCTGCTGCAGTTCTGGGCGTCATCCCGGGGCGCTGGGCAGAGCCGGTCCCGCAGCTCCCTTCTGCTTAGGGTCCTGTGCCCCGGAGGCGGGCCTTCGGGCACTCACAGGCCGCTGTCCCCCAGAGTCACATGTTGAGGTCCTGACCCCAGGACCTCAGAAGGTGACTGCTTTGAGAGAGGGCCTTTAGGGGTGACGAAGGGGAATGAGGTCCCTGAGGTGGGTGGTGGTCTTGTGATGGTGCCCTCATAGGGGCGTGGGGCACAGACACGCACAAGGGAAGACCCTGTGGGGACAGACGGAGAAGGCGACTATCCACAAGCCAGGAAGAGAGGCCGCGGAGGAGCCAGCTGTGCTGGACCCTGATCTTGAGCTTCTCTCCTCCAGAGTGCAAGAACGTAGGTTTCTGTTATTTCAGCCACGCAGGCCGCAGTGCTCGGTTACGGCAGCCGGCGCAAGCTGCTGGTGAGGCACGGGTCTGGTGCGGCCTCGGCAGGACTGGGCTGCCTCTCTCATGCTGGCCT